GTATATATAAAAATATATGTATATAATATATACAATATACACGAACACATTAGATGTTAATAATTTACGAAGTGACTATTTGATTTTAACAGAATAAATAAAAATGGCACTTCATATCTCATTGGTGTTGTTAAAAATGCCTTGGGAAATATGTAAAACTTTTTTATAGCTTCTACTGGCACTGACCAGAAATGTTTTTTTTGTGACAAAGGTTGTAATTGTAATAAAAAAAAATATCTAGTTATTTGTAATAAAATCATTTCAAATTTTAACATTATTTAACAAACATTGCGTCCAAAACTGTAAAAATAAAATATTCTTGCAAATAATATCACCCTTTTGGCGACTTTAGCTAAATGTCTATACATGTAAGTATACAGACTATTAGCTATTTTGGAATAAATAACAAAATGCAAATAGAAATACTCCTTATGTATCAACTGACCACCCATATGTACAAATATAACCCCGCTAAGAAATATTATGCTGATACGATTGCTTACTATCACTTCTTTTTAAATCCATTGGGATTTTTCGATTGCCAATTCCATGTATCCTTGCACATTTCATCTATGCCTCTCGTGGCTGTCCAATTCAACTCTATTTTCGCCAACGAGGCATCCGCGAAACTAGCAGCTACATCACCTTCCCTTCTATTTACAAACTCATGCTTGATAATTTTTCCTGATGCCTTGCTAAAGGCATTTATAACATCCAAAACGGAATAACCTCTGCCTGTACCTAAATTAAATGCTTTCCAACCGAAAAACGTTGTATCGTTTAATTTTGTCAAAGCTTGTACATGACCAATTGCTAAGTCAGTAATGTGAATATAATCACGAACACCCGTGCCATCTGGCGTCGGATAATCATTCCCAAACACATATACCTTTTCTCGTCGGCCCACAGCAACCTGCAATTAACGATAAAAAAATTATCCAAACAAAAGTATTATTACTGAATACCTGTGCTATATATGGCATTAAATTATTAGGAATTCCTGAAGGATCTTCACCAATTTCACCAGACTCATGTGCACCAACTGGATTAAAATACCTCAAAAGAATTACTTTCCACTCCTAAAATAGTATAGGTAGATTTTAGCAACCAAATTTCATGTGTACATTTTTAGAGTATTGGCTGATAGCAGTATATCTTTTTATCTTAGGTCAACTTTAAGTACCTTGTTATCTACCACATTCATTGAACAAATATATATATAATTATAATTTTTTCTGTATGACCTTAAGTAGTTCAGATAGTTGATATCTTTAACAGAAAGTGTGGAAATGATAATTCCTGAGCTCCCCATCTTCCGCCACTAAAACAGAACGGCTCCACCTGTTCTTCAGATGAAGAAAAAGCTGCAATCTTCGCATACTCCAGTGCTCCCCACTACCCAGTCAAGCGGACCTTGCCGACTTTCACGAGCGTATCAAAGCCGTCTCCCAGAACTACGTTCCCCTACATTCCGACTTTAGACACACTAGACCCTATGAACTCTCCCTTACTATCCATTCTCTGAAACAGAGGAAAGCCCCTGGCGCTGACGGAATTCAAAACAAAGTCCTCAAAGTCCTACCGCCAAAGCACATAACCGCACTGTGCAACATCACAAACGTCGTCATGTGGCTGCACCACTTCCCTTTGGTCTGGAAAGAAGCCACTGTCATCTGCCTCCTCAAAAAAGGGAAGAACTCTCCCTGAAACTACAGGCCTATCAGCCTGCTCAGTTCGTTGAGCAAAGTAGTTGAACCCATCCTTCTGGATCGGCTCTTAGACCACGTGGAGCAAAACAACATTCTCCCCGATTTTCAACACGGTTTACGCAGGCATCCGGCACCGGCCACCAACCAACTTCGCCATGTAACCGAACATCTCCTTCAACCTTAACAACAACCTTCTTCTTGACGTCCAACAAGCGTTCGACCGAGTCTGGCACGAAGGCCTTATCTCAAAAATCATCGCCCTTAACATTCCACATTTTCTAGTTCCGGTTATTAGGTCCTTTCTCACAGACAGAAGCCTTCGGGTCCACGTCGGCTCTATTCTCTCTGCCAGTAAACCCGTCACTGCCGGTGTCCCACAAGGCTCCAAACTATCACCTATTCTATTTAACCTGTTCTGTGCAGACATGCCCTCCGACACTTCTATTCTGACAGCTCCCTAAGTGGACGACATTGCCCTCATAAACTCCGCTCAAACCATTCTCCAATGCACAGGGAGTTCTTCCCCTGCTTCTAAACGTACCGAAAATGGAAACTTTCCATTAACAAGACCAAATCTGAAGAAATTGTCTTCTCTCGTAGGTCCCGAAAACCTCCCTCCATCTTAGTAAACAACCGTTCCATCAAGTGGAGCAACTCTGTCACCTACCTAGGCGTCGTTTTCGATAGGACCCTAAATTATCCGCTCCACATCGCAACTACCCATAACAAGGCAATGGGTGCATTCATCGCACTCAAGCCTTTCTTCCGAAACCACTCCATCGCCCAACATACGAAAATCCGTGCGTTTAACGCAAAATCAGGAGCATTTTCTCCTACACCATTCCCGTCTGGGGCTGCGCCCCTCCTTACCGCCTAAAACCCCTTCAAGGCACCTACATGCGGATCCTTCGTTCCGCATTAAACTATCCCTAATTCGTCAGAAACACCCAAATTCTGAAAGAAACCGGCTTTATCTTCTCTCCCTGAGGCTGCAATCTCATTCGCAGCAAGTCTCCGGACCTCAGTGTCAGCCCCCCCCATTTCGACACTCTCCAACTTCGCCCCGAAGCCAAACGACCGATTCGAAAGCCCTGTCACCTTCTACAATCAGCCACTCCCTCTCGCTCATTCCTAGCTTCGCTTTTTAGCGCGAGTGTCCACCCATAACTCCCGAGGTGGACCATGACGGTTCTCCCCCACGCTTTTACCTTCTCAACCCTCTCCCAAATCCCAACCTTCCATTTTCTTCCCGAGGATGAGTAACCCTCAGGGTTTATCTCTCCATTCGAGGAGGTGTTTTAGTCGGTAAAAGTCCGGCACTAACTTCCCTTCAGGGGGTGTATTTTGAAGATTTCTCCTCCTCGAGAATAATCTAATAAAAAAAGAAAAACACGAAAGGGAGACTAACATCAGTCTCAAGCTCCTTCTAAGAGTTTTCCCCAGTAGGAACATTCGAGTGGCCCTTAGACAGGGTGTCAGGAGTTTTTTTTGTATAGAACCCTACCTCCAAGTGCTAGTAAGAATATTGTGTGACGTCAACCAGTGTTTGTGTCGGACAATAGTGTTAAGTTTAAGTTTAG